TGAAAAAGGGACTTTTAAAGGTTTTAAAGGTGATATTCATGATCGGCTAAACAAAGACGAATCAAAATATGTATGACAAATTGAAAAATAAAATCCACTTGAATTTTGCATTAGCTGCTCCTTATATTTACCAATTGATTGTTGTGATTGTTCAATACCTTTATCAGGTAATTTCAAACCACGATAAAATGTAATTGTGTCTTTTGATTCTTGATAAACTTCATAAAAAAATTATTTTGTAGGGTTGTTAGTGAATTCTAATATCAAAACCTCGTTTTGATTTTTGCACCCAAAGGAACTTCCGCTTTGAGACTATGCATTTTTTCAAATCTAAATCATGAAAAGAAATAATCACGTATGAAACACTAGCATTGAGCGAAAAAGTTTGACGTTCAACAAGGTTTACGCCCCAATCTGCTTTTGGAATTTCAATATCTCTGCAAACGGAATTTCTGCAATGGCAGTTGGACAGATTTTGACAAAAGCAGGAATTCATTTGGAATTTCTCCTTTTGCAGTAATTCTTTTGAGAATTTCGACAATTGTTTCGCCAAAAAGTAATAGTATCATAGGAATTTCGATAAAAATTTGGGTTAGGCTGTTAATGACCTCTAGTGATTCGTGTTTGTTGTATATATTGTTGTCGAAGGACGTAGTGGAATTTCAACAGAATTCTCTACTTTAATGAAGTGGTGAAAAAAAAAGACTGATGCAACTGTATTTATAAAGTGTTGTAAAACAAGAGAAATTGCTTCTATGTTTATGTATGTTCTGCTGTTGAAATTCCTGAATGCTCTGTAGCCAAAAGTAAAAATTACGAAAAATTTGAAATGAATTTTTTGTTATTGTACGACGACAATGTCCATAGTAGTTTTTGTTGAATAAATGTTGAACTCCATATTAAATTAATTCCCGATTAAATTAATTAAGCCATGATATTACTTTTGACCATGATAGGAATTTTGTCAACGCTGTCGAAACTCCAAAATAATTTCTAAAATTTCACAAATCCATCCTAATTTCTGCATTTGTCGAAATTCTCATGAAATTTCTAAATTTGCAGAAATTCCAAAAGCAGATCGGAGAGTTTACCTTCAACAAGAAACCGTTCGGCCTCGCATCAATTTTTCGTACAGGCCGGAATCCTGATTACCATTCTCATGCACTGCTCTCAGTCTATATGCTGTAAAAGGAGTAAAGGTGTACAATCGACTCGACGTTTTCAGTGTTCGTTTTTTTTCGTTTGATCCTTTGTCTTTGTTCTGGCCTTTATTTTCTCAAAGTACAAGTGAAAATAAATAAAACATTGCCATGAGAGTTAGCATGTCCGTTCACTGATGTTACATTCGCACACGACAGAATGATCGATTTTGAGGTTCGAATTTCCAGTAAATCGAATGTCACACCAAACCGTCATAGATAAAAAGTTCGAATGACTATCATTTTGTAGACGACACCCTGGTGTAGCTAACTATACAAAGAAACAAAAATATTTTGACTTAAATTTGTCGAGAAAAAACTGCTTCTTCAAATATCTTCAAAATACTCTAATTTAATAGAACATTCTTAGAATTTAACTCTTTGAAAAAAGTTGCGCTACGCTTTGTATTATCAACTGTCAGCAACATCGCTCAGGATATGATTAAATAAAACTCAATAAGTTTGATAAAATAGTAAGTTGTATTACTTTTAGTTTCATTAAAATCGTAATGTATTTAGTTTTTTTCATTAAAGGACGAGAAAATAAAAACAGTAAATTTTAAAAACATTCTCAGATCCCTCACTCTTGTAACCACATTTTGGGAGATGCAATGTTTATTGATACACACATTGAGGTTTTAATTCAAAATCATCAGTTGAATAAAGAAATTATTTCGCCAATGTGATGTATCAGATTCTGGTTTGTAAACATATGTGCACTTGTATTCAAACATTCAATGACATTGCTGTTTTGGTTATACTCTATTCAATAAATAAAAAAATTACTTCTGTTCTCTTTTCCTGCTGAAAGAAAAAAATGAAAACGTGCTTTGTCAAAAAGAATATCAGTAACCTTTGTCTGAAAACAAAAATAAAAAAGCTAGTTTCATTAAAAGAAAGAATAATTGTATATGTGCTAGATAAGTGAACACATTGAAAGTATTATTTTATACTAATTTTAAACTATTAGTAAATAAAGGCTCATAATATTATAATTTTCAGAATGTCGTCAATGATACCGGTTAGTGTTGAAATCGAAGGCAATGAAACTGAAGTAGTCAAAATTCATTCTACGGCTGATATTACTGCTGTTAAAGAACAGTTACTTGGAAAAGATCATTTGAATTATCAAGTTTATTATAATGATCAAATATTAAATTCACATGAAACTGTTCCAGCAGATACATCATACAGAGATCCATTACTGATTCGACGAACTTCCAGTGAGTAACACAAGAGATTTGTTCAACTATTTAACAATTTTCTTGTATTTTTTTAAAGTTGATTTACCCATGCCTGTAGCTAAACCAGATTTGGTTTCATCTCTTATCGAAGAATCAAATGTAATAACACAAAATCCTATTTTTACTGGTGGTTGCCAATGTGGAAAAATACGTTATGCTCTCTACTCCACACCGGAGAGAATTACCGTATGTCACTGTCGTATGTGTCAAAAAGCGGTTGGTGGTCCATTTATTGCTGTTGCTATTATATCTACAAAACATTTTGCCTGGACACGAGGAAATCCTTCAACATTCGCCAGTTCATCTGTTGCTACTCGAGGTTTTTGTTCTAATTGTGGTACACCTTTATCTTATCAGATTCGTCAAAAACTTAGTATTGAAATAACCATTGGTAGTTTTGATCGTGCACCAGAACTGATACCACAAGAACAAATTGGTATTGAAAGTTGTCTAAAATGGGCTCTATTAAATAAATTACCACCGAAATCAAGCGATGCTAATGAAATACCACCGTCAAAGATCATTAGCTATCAACATCCCGATCATGAAACATCGGAAGCTGAATGGTTAACATTTAATACAAAGCAAAAAGACGAGATTCAAGAATTAATTACACTGTGAACAGAGCTATTCATACTTCTAGTACGGTGTTATTTTATTATACTACCGTAAAATAGCCTTGATCTTTTCTTGACAATATATATCAAATATGCACGAATCAACTCTTTCTGTTAATATCCACGCATATTTCGTATTCAAAGGAAATAGTATAAGGTTCGAACACAAAAAAAAGGGAACGCTTAACTTTATCAACCTCCAAGTCTGTTCTACATTTAGTAATTGTATGTAAAGAGCAGAAGAAAATATCTACTTCGAAATTTTTCTCGCTTTTTGCCACTAACGTTTAGGAATACTATATAGATGAAGAATATTCAGGTTCTTTGTGATAAAATTATACTTTCTGAAGCAATTCAATAAAGATCGAAGCAAAGTCGATAAATTATTTGTCGAAAAATAAGACGTTTTATTTTATGGCGAAGCAACTCTACTATTTTACAACAGACTTCTGCGGACAATTTTTCTGACGTATTTTTTTAATATAAGTCATAAGAAATTGGAAATGATTTAATCTCCTTATTTCGCGAATAATAATGATATATCACATTTAATTGAATATTACCAGAGCGACTTTATGAAAGGTAGAAGTATGACATGTACGTAATACAGTTCTCCACCACAAAGAATAAATGTGATAGATATGATTATACGTTACAAAATGAAAGAATTCTGGATTATTGCGAGATTTACACGTTAAAAAGTTGCTTTATTCAAATGTATCAGATTCATAAACGCTTTTTTCTTATGGTTTAGCCTCACGTCGAAGACGGATCTCAAGAACTATCAGTTCGATCTCGGTCAAACTTTTAAGTGACCTTGATCTTACAAAAGTATACTTCGATAAAGTTTTCTACACTCCATCAATCAACGTCTAAACCTTAGATTAAAAGTCTTTTCCACAATAGTGTAAATTTTGTGACAAACAGAGGTTTAGATCAAAAACGGGTTCTCCCACGCCATTGACCCAAGCTTTAGCTTGGATTTAAGGCCAATACGAACTCTTCATCGTTTAATCTGATCGAGAAGTCTTTTTAGAAGTGTTCGTTACGCCACATAAAACTCTCTGTTGAGATATGCTGACGTCATTATATGATATAGATTTTAGAACTAACATTTTAGTAAAATTGACGTCATTTCTGATCAAATCATCGCTCAAAGCTTGGTGATGTGTCATTTTAACCAAAAACATTTAGTCTACAAGCTGATATCACTGACATATCGGAATTTCAAGAAAAAAAGAGTATTTCAGAGCTTTTAGAAGACTTGTTAACACCCTCAGAAATCTTAGACATTTGCGAAAACTTTTCATAGAAAAATCTGAATTTCTGATGGAGGAAGGCTCAAATGACCGATGGTAAAAATATGTCTCTCTCTTCTGCAGCAACACACGATGAATTTTGGCTAATAGTAATGAAAGATATTGTTAATGTGATTTTCCAATGTATCTCTGGCACAATCTGAAGGATTCTTGATATTGTTACATTTCAGTTTACTTTCTAAATCTTCAAATCAGACTTTAGAAAAAAATCAAAAAACACATGGCGACCTTTCAATAGTGGTGTATTCAACACCTATCATATCTTGCTTTTGATTGTGTTAGAGAAAACTATCAATAATGATTAGTTTACATCAACATACGAAAGAGTAAATAGAACGAAAGCAAAAACGTAATGTGTCAAAATCAATTCGAATCTAAATCTGACATTTTCCTCTCATCTTCTTAGGTGTTAATTTACACACATAGAAACTACTTGCTTAAAGAGAATTATTATGATCATATTTTCTTCTCTTTGATCTTCGTAACGAGTATATGTAAAAACAGTATGTCATTTTTTTTCTTTTAATTTTGAAAAGGGTACGTATCGATTTTCTTACGAGATATATATATTTTTGTAATTATGATTGTTGTCTCTATGAAAGAAAACAACGTAGTGTACGCACAAAAGAAAAAAATATTGATTGATATATACTCATTAGATCGAGGAAGAGAAGAAAATGCCACATCCGTGATAACATTTTCCCATCGTGAATTTATTTTCACATACTCTCAGAATAGTTGTATATTTTACACTTGTTTCTTTACATATCTATACAGATCATCACAAATATTATGCATTTTTTTCATATTCTGTTGAAAATACGATTGAATTAATATTATGTAAGTTAGCTGAACGATTTTTGATCACATTGCTTATGATACATGAACTACAGTAAAAACTTGTAAACATACTATGATAACAAGATCTGTTAGGATCTCAAATAGAATTAAATGAAAATTAATTTTAGTCAGTTCTATTAGTTGTACGTAGATAATTTCAAACTGAACAAATTTCAATTTTGATACTTTATAGATTAATCTCTTCCAGTGAACTCGGATCATTAATTTTCATTGTTTTATTATACCTGCGATAAGTTATTACATTTTATAATCTCATTTGCAATCATATACCGATATTACACAAGTATTTCTTGATGAATCATATATCTATGCAATCAGATAGTTCAAGTTGTTTAACACAATCTGGTCTTACATCGTTAGCAACATCCATTTCATCTGATGAAGAATGGGCATTCGAGCCAACATTATCGAATAATGATTTTAAGAAATTTAAACATGTTCTTAATATTGATTGGAAACAACGATTCTCGGTAAGTCTAATTATTTTACACGGTTTTAATTATTAAACAATTGACCCCAACTAATTCACTCAAACTTAGTTTTTCTAGTGTTAATATTTTTGATATTGAGCACGAATCTGATAATCATCATAGATCGACTTTAGGAGGAGGCTTCAAGAGTTCAAGATGATAACAGTATAACATCATCAAACTGTCAAGCACGTTGAGTTATCTATATATAAAACTTTTCATATTAGAATTTCAGCTAGAAAAAGGCTCGTGTCTGTTACTACCACAAATAATGGACCTTAAAATGTCAGCTCCATACATGAAAGAATTTAAAGTGGTTAACAATCGTTAGAACGCGTTAAATACGAAACATTTAACGGGTTAATCCACTTCTCTAACGTGTTAAAATTTAGAAATTAACGAGTGTTTTCATCGATTCTTTTTCGAACGCATGTTCGATCGCATGAAGTGTGAGAATTTAATCCGTTTAAACACATTAAATATGAAACATTTGATTATTTTCATATTTAACGCCTTCTAACGATCATTAACCGCTTCAAATTATTTCATGGACAATGTTAGTATGCATCTTTATAAGAAATGTTCCTTGGTCCGCAATGATTGTCAAATTCTTGATTAGTATCAAAAATAATTCAAGAAAAAATAAGTTTAACTGAAATTGGAATCAGTTGAAGAGATTTCCTCGTGAGCCATCTGGTGGTAATAAATTCCATACACTGTAAGTTAGCGTCATCCTTGGTTAAAGGCGTTTCATTGCAAGTTTCACCTGTTCGATCAGATCTCACTATCTTACTGAAATATTATGAATCTAACGGATAAGAGGATATCTCTCTCTGTGTTAGTTTTTTTCCTATTAATATGTCAATTCATATACCTTAAAAATGACAAAACGTCTTCGTAATGTAACCTTTAATTACTTCAGTTTGTGGAAATAAATAGCTTTAATCAATGGCTTCCATCCCCCTAGATTGGCATCAAAATGCTGTGTGTGTTTCAGAACGTTTTTATATATCGGTAGATGCCAAAAAAAGCAACATATTCAAGTTACTCGGCAAAAATGTTTGATATAGAAGAAATTCCACTTCTAGCTACATATGAACTTCTCCTTTTACAATTTCTTAAAATTTAAAAAATGCATCCTATCAAAATTTTGTTTAAGACAATTTGCCTCAAAGGTACCATAGGATGAAATCTTCTGGCTTTAATTCCAACAGATGTAAGGATACTTTAGATAAAAAATATTTTTATGATTATCCTATGATAACATACAATATTCATCTGACACTTAGTGGGGGAGCCACCAACAGGGCTAGACTGGGCTGAACCCTGCCTAGAAAGCTCTGAGTCCCCGCCTAGACAGTTTTACCTGAAATACTATTTATACTACTACCTGAAATTTATTAGCACTACTTCAGATCAAACTCCAGAAAAATGATGGACTGAGTCCTGCCTAGCACGAAATCCTGGTTCCGCCTCTACTGACAATATGGACATTTTTAAAAAGTTGACATAAATTAAACTAGGGCTGTTATTTATGAACAAAATATCAAAGTAATGTTTTGAATTTTTACGATATTTTTATACAGTATACAATAATCGGCTGTCTCTTCTATGATTAATTATATTTCCAACAGTTTAGACTCATGACAATGAAGATAGACTTCGAATATCATACAAAAACAGCTCGTCCATTTTGAAATAAAAACATTGACAATTAAATTTTATACTTTCTTTTAAAAAAACATTTTTAAAATAAAGCAAAAACAAACGTATCGTAGTTCAATATAAAATATATTCAACTCGATAATACTTTTCACTACTAAAACCAAAAATTTTGTACACTATTTTCATTGAGATTCTCTCTTGGGAGAAAAACAAAAAGAGCATGAGTACACTATTATAGTATAAAGTTCTTTTGATATTTTTATAATTTTTGTAAAATATTAATTCTATATCAATCAAAATTGTTTAATAATAATGAAAATTTTACATATACAACATAGTAAGTTTTCTCTATCACTATTACAGATCTGTTATTTTTTTTTCTGTTGTTTTTTTGTATGATAAATTATATATGCCTCAATGATAACCTTGCACGTGTCTATAGACTTCATAATCTTTCGCACACAAATTAATTATAAAGAAAAAGAACTCTATTGTTGTCATTGATAAACTATACACTGTAAACAACAAAAATAACGTTTGTTTTGCCTCTGTTGTTGAAATACAAAAACTACTAATCTACAAATTCAACTACAACTGGGTACGTTTGTAATCGGTAGGAGTATTTTTGTCAGTAAACGTGATAATCACTCTTATAGAAGAATAATTGCCTTCAGATTCTTAAAAATCTCGTAAGAAGTACAGCATTGATCACTGATGTAAATCTTTAGATAATGATTAATATTTAAAACTAACTTATCAGTGAACTTTAAGAAAACTTTAATCTTCATAAATACAATTTTATGTGCTGGTTTTTTGTATACTTTGCTCGCGAAGCGTTTGAAATAGTGTTATATCAACTATAGTCTGTTTGATCATTTTAATATCAAGAAATTTTTTCTCAAAATATGTCTCGTCATCTCATGCACAACTTCAATATCATAATATCATACGCTAAAACAATATTTGATTATAACAAAACTGTCGACGTGTTAATAATTTACTTCATTAATCCATAAAGAGTTCTTATTGATAAAGTTTTGTATAACTTTAATGCTTATATATCTTATCTAATAGATTTTTTATATTCCCAAGAGCAAAAAATCTTTCTTTTTTTTAAAAAAAATAATGACATTGAGATAAATTAAGCCAGGATGGCCTTTTCTCTCGTCTTAAGCGAAACAAAAGAGCGAATATTGATCGTTTTATATCATTATCATCATTTATTGTTGAAGCAATGCCGTCTTTTTTCTTTCCTCAATCGATAGATCTGTCGTGTACCTCATTCACAGACACAATAATAAACATTTCTTCTTTTGTCGAATAACAGATATTTTTCTTTTTGAGTATTTTTCCTGATGATGGTGTATCATACAAGATTGATACACATACATATACATAGAAGAAAAGTGGTTGTGGTGGTAGAAGTGAGAACATAAAGATTTTTAGCATGGTATATAAACTAATAGGTGTACTGCGGAAAATGACAAATCAACAACATCTCTAAAATGTAGGATATTGTACATTTCTTTGATTTTTTTGACGTATACCCTTTTCTTTTTTCTTCTTCTACATGGATATGGCAGCAGTCATTGATCGTCGTGTTTGGTGTGAATTGCTCGAATCTATATAACAAGATGATGATTTTTCTTGTTCTTTGTTTCCATTTTTGACAATCACCATTTGCCTTCTTGTTCTTCTTTATAGACCATATTCATAGAAAATATAAGAGAAACGATGGATGATAACATATCCGTTTTCTGCTCGTATTAACTATTCTGCTTGTATTGTGCAATAAACTAGAAAAAAATTTCGAATAGATAAAAAACTGTTTTTTATTATCATTGGAGTAATTTAAATAATTTTCACACAAATATTGGTAAAAGCAGGTATGCTCAAGAATTTTATTAGTGAACGTTAAGATTTTTTATATCTATATTGGACTCGATTGTAATGGTATCTCATAAAATAGCATTGCTGCAATTGTTTTTTGCAAAAAGGAGAAATCTAAGCTCTTTATACGCTTTATTATGCAGTAAAATAAAACCGCTAATAATACAAATAGTTCAAAAAGGTAGTACGATGGTGAAATAAAATTGATTGAAAGTAGTTACTATCATTTTGACAAACATTTTTTGAATGTCTTAATAAAACTTATATAAACAAGACTTTTCTGGTATTACCCACACTCACTGAAATTAATTGTATGGAAGAAGTTTCTCAATCGTGACAGAAAAAAATCGGTTTATCTCACTTGAAAGACCCATTAGAGATGTTTAATTGACCATTCATGGGCTACATTCAAACGAGCAGTAAGGAATAAAAATATTAATATAGGTTACTTTTGACGTAACTTACAATACGATAAGAATACCGGCTTGTCTGTTTTTGATAACATACTTGTGGAGAATTTTGAAAATTTTTTAGTTGTATTGTACGTCCGTAATTGTTTAAAATCTATTTCTACCAGACACAATTAAGATCCTTGATCTCGTGGTCGGTAAACAGTATGAAATATATCTATACTAAAGTTTCCAGATCTAAATTATGTATCACTACTGGATCAAACGAGCTTATGTATCGTTTGTTTTTATAAAATATGACTAACTCAGCCAAAACTCATCAAAATGTTTGCTCTTTAATAGTTCATTACTCTAAAAAAGCATCTGAACTAGTCGATTAATCATCTCGGAACTGACTGGTAACTCAGGTTAACCGTTTTTCTTCTACAGTTTTGACATATGAAAACCTATTTCAAGCAAGAAGCACGAGAGAAAAGGATCTTTTAGTAAAATCTATGCACATATAATAGTTGTTCGATTCCATGACTATTTTTGAAAACATGTTTAGCTATACGATCATTTTTTGAAGTAGATATTAAGTAGTAACTCCTGACAAAGATCTATAATTCCATACACAATCACAGATTTGCAAACGTAACAGGCACTTCATATTCTGAAGTAATAGGTGTAAAATATCAAAAAAAGGAATATTTTTTAACAAAAAAGATTGAAGAACCATATGGTTACATTCAATGTTATTTACATGAACATCGATACTATTATTAATTTACAAAGAATTCGTTTATCGTTTTCTCAGCACTGTCATAATTAATTGACTGATGACTCAGTACTATTATTCGATGGGGTTCTATAATAACACTGTTAAAAAAGCTTTCTCATATAACGTAAATAGTTTTGCTCATCTTTTTTCTTCTGTCTTTTATACATATGGAGATAATTATTGTTTCCTATTATACCATCACTTAATACATTATAAATAGTGATAATTACGTTATTAATTGATATATTCATCAATCTTGTATGAGAATCGTTTGTTCAAGAAAAATACTTTAAAATATTGTGCTATTTTATGATCGTCCATTGAAGTATGATAACGGAAGACTAAAAAGTTTGATTGTTACAATGAGTTTCAACGATAAAATGATAACACTATATTAATTTACTACATTTAGTTAGTTCTTTCGTAGTTCGAATTATGATTTTAAAAAGAAGTTGTTAAATACTCAATAAATGATCTTGACAAATATATGATCATCTGTATTTAATTTAGATTTCTCCTCAAATTAGTCATTCTGCTTCACCTCAACCGTTTGACGATGATATCACATATCGTATACATCGAAGAAGTATCTTATCCGATTCTTCTAATAATTTAAATTATTCTTGTCGTAATCACTCATCATCTCCAAAATTACGTTATTATTCATCTTATAAACAACAACGACCTCGACGTCCGTTATCATTTGATAATGGTGATTTTGATTATTCTTATACAAAACATCATTATCATTTAGATAATAATACGGCGTACATTAAATTAAAAAATTTTACAGAACGTTTACTTGAAATTGAACGTAAAGCACGGGAAAAAAGATGGATTAATAATCAAACATCTACAAATAAAAATATTCAAAAATCATCGACATCAAATAATCGAAAATTTAGTAGTGAATATACTGAAAAAATAAATAAACAGTATGGTTTATGTGTACAAGATGTTGTTAATTGTTTAAATCGACGACGAAATTCAAAATCGATAACAACTACCATAGTAAATGAAGTACAAATGGAAACAACATCACCAACGACAACAGATCGTAATGCGGATAATGGAAATATTTTTAATCGCTTTTTAAATGAAAAACGAAAACGATCATTAAATTCTGACGAGCAAAGTATTACACTGACGCAAAATCCATTGATTGCACACAGGTAAGTGCTACCATTCTTCCCGTACTTGTTTATGATCATCAAATCGTTACTACAGCTAGCGATGTGTTATGTCATGCATGACTCTGATAATATAGGAATCTTTTAAATCTATGTTGTAACTTACAATATTATGGTTTTCCACGATTGTAACCCTGAACTTGCTTCCATGTTTTGAATCGAGCATCAAGTAAAAATGTTCTGTTTGGTAACCACAATTACATTCGAACGATGATGACTGATGAAAATGATGATAGATTGGATGAAAAACAAAGAAACATACGTAACTTGATGACATGTACTTAGTCGCATTTTTATTCCAGATAGTAATATGGTACTGTGTTCGATAAAAGTCGATCAGCATGTGAATTTTTTCAACGACTTGTATTCTATAAGAATGAGAAATACTCAGAAAAACTAATATTATTCGTTTTCTTTCATTTAGTTTATCAAACGGCGATCCTCGTTTGAAGAATTGTGTAGCCAGTACTCCTTTTCATGATGATACAGACGTCCGCAAAGCAAAAATTCGAAGAATTCAAAGTGACCCAGTTTTAGTTAAACAATCACGCCGTTCACCAAGGCAAAATCTTCGAAAAATAAAAACAATGCCAGCAATGATGATTACCAATTATACAATGCTGAAACTCAAGGAACAAAGTAACTCGTTGCCGACCGAAGTAAGCACTGTGAACGATACAGATGCCTAGTTGAAACACTTCTTACAAGAAGTTCTGCGATCTTGGAACAATCATGTTTAAATTTCTTGTCATAAGTTCTGACAAGATCGTACAAGAAGAAATGTAATCTTGTTACATGTTTTTGCCAGATTTTGCAAGAAGTAATGACTTGTCGTACTACCACAACAATTTTGCTACGATATAGAGTATATACGTACAATATCGTTGAGATAATTAAATTTTAAAATTTTCTTTTTTTTTTACTTCAGCTGAGCACAAAATAAAGTGCATGCATAACTTACGAGGGAACCGTCACAGGTGTCCCCTTCCGATTCCAATGATTTGTACATGAATCGATAGACCTCAGTGAGGTAGTAAATACCCTAAAAGGATTTGTGCTCTTGACTCTTGAAGATCCAGTTT